GTTGTTACTTTTACTTTTGTAAGCATTAAGCTTAAGAATTTTTTTGATCTTGAAGTATCGTATGCTTGGTTGCGTAGTTCGCGAGACAAATATCTTCATCATTGTTCTTGTTTTGAGAACAACCATAGTTTTTATCTATGCTTTCTGATGAGTAAAATAATCAGAGTTAAAAACAATTTATTCATAATAAAAGAAAACGACAATGCAACAATTTTTTTATTGAATTGAAATTACAAGCTTCAAACAACAAGTTTAGATAATGAAAATAAAAGTTCATTGAATGAAATTGATTTAATCGGATTCATAAGCTTCATTCCCCATTTTCACAATAAAGTTGGAAGTATCTAGAAGGGTTGTGTTCAATTGACCAAATAAATTGAACACTAGATTAGGTATACCTATTAAATCAGCTTGGTCGATGAAATTAGTCTCGACCTTCTTTTCTTTGTGGGAGGCTTTTTAATGACCTACAAGATGTTTGGGGGTACTACATATACATGCCCATTGCATATTGCCACCACACCTATTGCAGACTCATTCAATATTTATGGGAGCATTATTCATATGAGTTTTCCTCTTATAAAAGTTTACGTTTTTAAAGCTTGGGTTTGGATTATGGCTTTGACCCTGGTTGTAATTATAAACACCATGACCTTTACCTTTTCCATTCCATCGGCCTCACTTATGGCCACGTCCCTTTTTGGAGTTACTACCACAAAAGGACGTGATGTATGCTTCAAGGGAAGTAGCATTTGTGGATGCAAATTTCCGCCTTCTTCTTCTTTGACAAAATTGCACCTACAAAACAATCAACACCTTTGGTCAAGGCCAAGAACCTCACACTCCCACGATGAATGGGGGGGGGCTTTGGCCGAAGAACCTCCGATGCCAAAGTTAGAATTTAGAGAGAAAAAGTGTTTAGAGGATTTTTGGGAGTATTGCAAGAGTATCAACTTAGCTTTTTAGAAGAAATAGGGTCATATATATAGGGAATGGGGTGTGGCCGGCCTTTAAGTGTGTTTTGGGATGTTATTTGGTGATTCAATTAGCAATTAATATATTAATTAGGTATAAATATATTAATTGGCTAATTATCATAATAAAAGAAATGTTTTGGGAGGTTTTTGGAAGTTATGGAATGAGGATGGATGAGACAAATTTGAACTTGTTACCTATTTTGGGTACTCCTGATTTGGTTGATGGATGATTCTCCACTGCTCGCGTGTAGGAGACCCAGTATGCCTCAAGGGTAAATTTGTCATCTTCACCCAAAAATCCACGTGTCGCTTTGTGATTATTTTTGGCTCCACAACATTCACTTTTGGGTATGATGATGATCCAGTTGGTCTGGATTGATAATTTTTCATTAAGAGCTCATTATTTTGCTCAACCATAAGGAGTATTGATATTAGCCGGTTATACTGTATAAAACCGCGCTCTCTATATTGATGTTGCATGAGCAAATTAGAGGCATGAAAAATACTAAATGTCTTTTTCAGCATGTCTGCTTTAGTGACATTCTCCCATAAAGTTTCATTTAGGAGCTGATTCTAAACATTGTAGAATTATTTCTCAAGCCATTCCAAAGGGCCAGTTAGTCCTCAATCGCTAAGTATTCACTCTTTAACTCTTCATGCATGTGGCGACGAATGAAGACCATGGCTTTTGCCCAATCTTGGGAGGATGTAGTGTTTCCTTCCTTGATGGTGTCCCCAAGATGGATCTTGGCATCTACAACTCAGGGAAAGTAGTTCTTTCCAATGACGTCGGGTGACAAAATCAAGCTTTGCCAAGTTTGTAATTTTCATTTTTCTAAAAGAATAATGAGATGCGTAAAAAGCTCACAATAATATAGTTTCCAAGGGAATGTAATTTAGAATTTCTGGCTTTTACAAAATTTACATTTTTGAACTTCAGGCACAAATGATAAGTACTCGAAACTTCACGCTCGAGGTTAATTTAATTACACGTTAATTAGATAATTGTTAGAGCTAATTATTCTAGGGCTGGGCAAACGGGCCTGGACCTGCAGGCCAGGGTGGTTCGGGGCAAGGCCTTATATTTGGTACACGAAACGAGGTGGGGCAAATCCAAATAAATGGTGGGGATGGGTCCAATTTTTTATTACACGGGTCCCCTGCCCGGACTATATGCACATGCATTCAATTCTTCTCATACACACACGAGGGTCTCTCTGCAAATTCCTTTCCCTGTTTCTCCATTTATCCTCAGATTATCTTCGTTGGATCTCGATCGCCTTCATTGAATCTCAATCGTCTTCATCGATTCTTAAACTCAAAGACTTTCCTTTTTCTCGATTCCTCTCTCCCAGATCTTGTTCATCAATTCTTAAACTCGGGGACTCGCTTCCCTCTCGATCTTTCTCTCCCACATCGTCTTCATCGATTCTTAAACTCGGAGACTTTCCTCCCTCTCGATCTCTCTCTACCAGGCTGACTGACTCTCGCTTTCTCGGACAGACTGAATTCTCGTTAGCTGAGTTCCTTCTCAGCTCCTTTTAACTCCGACCACCACTTGACGACCCATCTCGATTTTTTTTATTTGGGTTGAAGATTGCATTATTATATATGTGTTTTTTGAGTTCTTGCTAATTTCGTAGCTAATTGGATATATGGATTGGTGTTATTTGCAAGAATTTGAGCTAAAACATACAGGTAGGACGCTGGACACTTGAAATTTCTTGAAGCTTCATAGCTTCATTTGTTCGTTGTTTGTTGCAGGTCAAGCGAAGCACAGCAGGCAGGAATAATCCGGGGACCTGTAGGAACCGATTCGTTTTAAACGGATCGGGTTAGATTCGGTTCCAGCTTTCATTTTTCTGTTCTCCGGCTTGACCTGCCACGTTTTATTTTCCATCGAGTCTAGTCCGGTTCCTTCAATTTTGATCTTGACCCGGCCCATACCTAGCCCTAAATTATTCACTATACAGCATTAGCACCAGTATAGAGTATTATTACCAGACAAAAAAAAAAAAATAACAAAGAAGGTAATTGAACTGCACCATTCTCTTTTGGATAATGTAGTGGATAATGAACAATTTATTCATGTCTAATTTTTTTTTTCCACATAATATTATTAAATCAAAACGCCGGTAAACCTACTCGATCCTCTCTTATTTTTATTAAAGTTTATGGGAAGCATCTTTTTGCAGACGGCATATTGTCTCAATACTTTTGTCTTCCACCAGGACAATGGAAGAAGTGACTAATTTTGGCACCTTCTTCCTCAATAATAGATTGAAGGCGTGTTTAACTTTAACTAAAGCTTGAATTGCCGCCTTTTAAATCATGATTAACTAGTGATTTACTAATTAAGAAGTAGAGATTGGAATGCATTCTTAAAAGTGAGGTATGAGATGCGTCATACATGCATGTGTTTTTCAATGATAAATATGAATAAGAAGGGTGCAGAAATTATATCATCATATATATAGACGGAGCAAATCATCATAAGGTGACAAGTTTACACATGGTTGACTGGTGGATATGAAAATTAAGGAATCATTGATAGAACACGCTAGGAAACCTCAATCATGGTAACAATGAAAATGATTTTTTTTTTTTTATCTTTTGTTAGAAGTGATACGCAAAGTTAAGGCAAGATGAAAGAATATTTGAGGTCAAAATGTAATGAGTTAAATAGAAATATTCTTGATAAAAGAATATTTGAAGTCAAAGCGTAATAAGTGAAATAGAAATATTCTTGACATAAAAGTAGCAGGTAGTATTTCTATTTGAACTAACATTCCAAAAGCCAAGAAATTTATTTGAACTAACATTCCAAAAGACAAGAACCAGACATTTTCGTAGGACCGGAATAGCAGAAGCACATGAAATTGCTTCTTCGTATACTTCCCTAAACACTGCATGCCGACTAATTGGAGCTATACATTGTCAGGATAGAGTCTTCATGTGAAGTGGGAGTAGTTGGCATAAATGGGTTCCTTATCCTTAAAGCACTTTAAGTCTCAATTTATTTCAACTCAATTCTAAGGTTCAATAAAGTATAGGGGAAGGACACACTACGATCTATTCCAAAGTCAGGACTTACTACAAACTTTTTTGAGGGTTTACAGAAGAGATCTTAGCATTTTTTAAAGATATTTTACATTGCCCACTAAGAGAGATTGCCAATAATGGAACTCGAACCTAAACCTTGGTATAGCAAAGAAAACGATCATTACCAACTCAATCAACTCTTGTTTGGCATTTCAACTCAATTTTTGAAAGGGCTACGAAATGCCTATCATGTATATAATTGCGCATATATTAAAAATTTACGAATACACATTCACTCCAACCAATACAGTTATGCCCACATCATCTATTATATTCTAGTGGTGTTATATTTAATGGGATGAGTAGATGAATGAAAAAACTTCTTTGATTAAAATGATATTATATTTGTTGAGAATGACTCACACATTTATTGGAAAAAAAAGGGATTTGCATGGGTTTATAAGGAGTTGGGCTACTCCTTATATTGCTAATTGGTTTTGTGGTGGAACCTCTACTTTCTTGGTATCAGAATAGGTTGTCTCACTTGTGAAGTTCAATAGCTACACGTGCTCCACATCATGCTATTTGTGTTGTCCACATGTTAGACTTTAAAATTTGCCACACGTAAAAGGGCGTGTTGAGAATAAATCATGTAGGAACATAATATATCCCAATCAATGAGAATACGTCATGTGTACAACTTATCAAATATAACTACTCTTCCTTAGAATACCCAAACCATTAGTCAAAACCTAACAGGCTAACATGCCATATTTTTTTCGAAGGCCCTAAAAGCCCACAATCAACAGGGCCTGAGCCCATATCATCGCAAACAATCCAAGTTGATCGCCACTTGACCTACGCAGATTACCCTGATATGTATGCGCTTGCCCATCAGTCTTCTAGCATGGCAAGGCTCTCCAAAGCATACTCCAGGAATCTTAGAGGAATATTCCTCCATTGGTGTGCATACAAGATAACTCTTTGGTTACAAGTTCAACGAACCTGGATGCTAGGGTTGAATCCTCAGTTTTCTATAAATAGCCAAGACCAACCACTTTATTCTAGTAACCAAAAGCTCTCACCACACTCTAATTATTTCCTACAGTCTTTCTGACTTACGCATTGGAGACCTTTTTGCAAACACTACACGGTAGTAGTGTAATTCCATGTGTCTATTTTCTTTGTGTGTGTAGATTTTCATCAATTCAATCCGTGACGGAAATTTGCTCGTGCAAATTTCACATTGATGGGAAGAGGACCTTGCTTGGGCTTATACGTAAGTTAGGTTACTTCTCATATGCCAATTGATTTTATGATGAAAATTAAACTTTCTTCAATATTTTGTCTGATTTCTTCAATTTATTCCAATCCTTTAATTTCACCAATATTGTTTGATTGTTGAATTGGGGATGAATTGTTAATTCATTGTTAGTAATAGATCCATGATATGATTTATTTGTCGATTTTCCTTCTGGACTTGTAAGGAGCTGCCAATTTTACCTCTAAACTTTAATTTTAGCCAATTACCCTCTGAACCTTTATAATTGGCCAATTTCTCCCTTGAACTTTAGTTTAGTCGATCACCCCCTAAACTTTTATAATTGATCAATTTCCTCTTGGGGTTGGATTTTGGAATTTTTCATTCAATTTTCCATTCATCTTGGTCACATGCACGACACATGACAATTGTTTGAAAGCCAGGTAATATTATCCCTAATGTGGACAACACATTTTTTTTTCTTCCTCTTCTCTTCCACTAGTTCACGTCGTACAATTTTTGTTTGAATTCTATCTCTAATGTGGACAACTATGAATCTTCTCCAAGGTCTTGCTTTTTCAACAATATGTTGGGTTGTGATGCCATTTCATTAGCCTTCTTTATGACATGATTCACATTATCGTCTCGGTCCACCTATTCCAATTCAAGACCCAAATTCAAATAAGAAAAGTAATTACTCTCAACAAATTCGTTACTAGAAACTAGCCAATTACAAGAGGGTTGGTTAAAATTAAAGTTCAGGAGAAAATTGGCATCTCTTACAAATTAGGTGGAAAAGCGGTGAATACCTCTTTAATCGATACTACTATGCTGATGTGGACAAACTAATATCAATTATATTAGTATAATAAATTTTTTTAAATGCGGATAAATGAACTGATGCTAAATGCTGAGACTTGGGATAATAGAGTCGTCTAAAATAATACATATGATATTATCTACACTACACTACACTATAGGTGTGGGAGAGTGGGTCTACCATAATAATTTGGTTCAAATTCGCTTTTGATGAGAATTGAACATAATAACTCTTATTTATGAGTGAAAAAAATACTACTATACTATAATATTAGGTGACAAAATAAAAAGAATGTTAGCAAGATCTTAAAATTGGGATTAGCCCATAACCGACAAAACCAAACTGCACAACGATAGTCAAGTTTGGTTTACTTTTCACCCATTACTTTGGTTAAAAACAGAACAAACTGATGTTATATAATAATTGGTTTGGGTGGAAAACCAAAATGGTTATCAAAATTTTGGCCTTGCCTTATTTTTGGGCGGTTTTAAAGTTTGGCTTTTGGTTTTTAGCTTCCAATAATAGTTATCAAATTTTTTTTTTATTTTCTACTGAAATGATTGTCAAACAGGCCCAAGACATTTTATCAATTAGAAAAAACAAAAAAAAAAATTCATGAATCTTGAATCTCTCCATATAAATATGTATATTTTTCACATTTTACTATATGTAAACCATTGTAGTATTTAAGGACTTAAGACATGGCACACCAGTTATCGTTTCAATTGTCCTGAGTTCCATGGTTTGACGATTTTTGGCCACAACAATCACTACCTACTTCAACGTCTCCAAAGTGATATTGATATGTATCTGTTGTCTTGTCGATCTATTCTTTTCATCTATTTGATAATGGGAATCATTCATTCCCCACTTTCCAATACAAATCATGAGGAGAGCACATGATTACATGAGCGATGGCTAAAACTCAAAGCCCACAAAACCAAATTGCCAAGTGAGTCCCTCCTGCTCCACCTCTTGATTATTATTGTCGGTGATGATAATATGATTAAACAGTGGATTATTACTAATTAGAGTTGGTAAAATAAAGGGTTATTCAAAGTTTTGAAATTTGCTTTCTGCAAATGTTTTTCACGAGTTTAATGATTAGTGAAAAAAAGAAGAAAGAATAGAGATGCAAAGGTGTCCTCCTGTCATTGTATTTACATTGTAGGTGTACGTAAACTATAGAAGACCTAATAAATTTCTGCGAATGTCTTTTTTACCAGATCAGTGATGATTAGCAACAAAAGGAAAAAAGAGAGAAAAAGGTGGAACATTGTTCTTGTTCATACATTCGGGTGTGGCTACAATCAGAGGCGGAGCCACAGTGGGGTCAATGGGGTCGCACGACCCCTTGGAAGCCATGGAAATAACCTTAGAGGTCCCTTGGAGCTGCTGGTGCGACCCCTTAAAGCTGCTGGTGCGACCTCTTGGATCTGCTGCATTTTTCTGGGTTTCTTCTGGTTTTCGTTCGGTTTGGCGGAAGAGGAAGACGAAGACGAAGACGTTCTCTCTCTTCCTTTCACACCACGTGACCACACACTCTTCTTATTTAATTTTTTTTCTTAGTTTCTCTCCGATCAAATTTGTACAGCTAGCATCAAATTGCTTGCTTTGTGTAAAAAGCCATAGGCTGTCAGTTCGGTTCGTGTGTCAAGTTGAAGATGTCACCATTAAGTCTTGGTGCAGATTGCAAAGTTCCCATGCGTCCACATCCACATATTTGACATAAATTAATGGTAATGATGTGTGTGCCCTTTCCACATCCACATATTTAACAACTTTATTTCTCTTTATATTCAACATAAATTAATATGATCTCTAAAAAATATTATTATGAACCACCATATCAGAATTTTATGTTTATTATGAACCATCCAACCCAATTTTATGTTTATTTTTTGTTGTCAGGGAAAGTGAAGGCACCTTTTAGTATGGTAACTATCGGCGAGAGGCTGATCACGCTATCCTACCAAGATCCGATGAAATGACGATATGCATGCCGTTTCTGTTAAAAAAAAATTTCGCGCTGCGGGCGCTATCCTTGTTGACCCCCCAAACATTATTTCATGGATCCGCCACTGGCTACAATGTCCCGTGACCTTAGTGCAGATCTGTTTTTTTTTTTCTTTTCTTTTTTAAATTTGACCCGTTCTTGTACGTAAACATATGAAACTGCAAAAAATATACACCAAAAACAAATTAAAAGAAAAATAAAAAACCTGGGGTTTGTGCAGTCAAGTTGGACTAAATAAAGAATGAATGTTTTGCTGAATTGTGTAATCATGTTTGCTAAGTAGCTTGTTTTTATATAATACGTAGTAATGCAAGAAGCAAAATTGTAGACGTGAGGGGTGCATTTATTGTACCGGACTATCTCAGACTGGACTAACTTTAGATAATAAGCTGGATTGGCTTAGACTACACTAAGTTGGATTAATTTAGTGAAGCGTTTAGTGCAGTGTCGGACTAACAAGAAAATAATATTTATTTATTTATTTCCTTTTTCTTTTTCCTATTCCTTTTCATTTTTTCCGGAACACTCTTCCTTTTTCCAGACTCTCTCGAGAACCAGAGCTCTCCCTCTTCTTTTATCCTTTATCCTTTTTCCACTCTCTCTCGAGAACCAAAGCACTCCCTCTCACTTTATCCCTTTTCATTTTCCAGAAAACTATCTTAAATGAATGAAAGCTCCCACTGTTTTTCTCCTTTTTTATTATTGAAAAGTTGTTTTGCGTAAATATGTGTTTGACGATTGAAAGATGTGCAGAGCTTTTAACAAATTTGGTTTTGCAATTCGAGTCTGTGATTTGCGATGGAATCTGGGTTTCGCGATTTCAATGTGGGTTGCAATTTCAGCAAATTTGGGCTCTGTCTATTGGCTTTCAGGTATGGGTTTTGCGATTCGAATTGGAGTGAATCAAACGACGGCGAGAGCAGGGAGATAATGTGACGGGTTCTGGGTTCTGTGAGATTCAAACGACGGTAAGAGCAGGGAGATAATGCGACGGGTTCTGGGTTCTGGGTTCTGTGAGATTCGAAACGAGCACACGATGCAATTCTGGGTGGCGAGTGTTGACAATGTTGGCAACGCGAGCTGACGAAGCGAGCAGAGAGAGGAGAATGAGGATGACAAGGAGTGAGAACATGAGAAGACGAAGACGCAGTGAAGGTCTTAGCAGTCCCATGGTTATTGGGGGGTCTCGCTAAGACCTCTTAGTGAAGGGTTTTGTCTGTGCGAGTCCCCTTTAATCTCATTAATGTTTATCCCAACACGGAACAAATACGATATTGGACTAACAGCTAGTCCAGTCCAGTCCCACTTAGTGAGGGCAAACAAACGCCCCCGAAGTGTATAAAGACAAGGAAATGCCTGATGCCTCCATAACAAACAAGCACTTTAAATACATATGATATTATATACACTATGGGTGTGAGAGAGTGGGCTTGAAATAATAATTTGGTTTGAATTCGCCTTTGGTGAGAATCGAACATAAAAACTCTCACTTATAAGTGAAGAAAAATATCACTAGATCATAATATAAAGTAACAAAACAAAACTGCACAACGAAAATCAAGTTTGGTTTATTTTCACCCATTACTTTAGTTAAAAACAGAACAAACTGATGTTATATAATAATTGGTTTGGGTGTAAAACCAAAATGGTTATTAAAATTTTGTCCTCGCCTTATTTTTGTGCGATGTTAAAGTTAGGCTTTTGGTTTTTAGTTTCTAATAATAGTTATCAAATAAAATTATATTTTCTACTGAAATGATTGTCAAACGAGCTCAAGACATTTTATTAAGGGAAACTTAAAATTCCCTACAGTTTTATTTGACATCAAAGCCAAGCTGCCGTAACCCTAGAAATTGTAAAACAATATTTTTTTTCTTCCACTGCTGCGTTCGGTCGATTGGTTTCCTGCACTATTGTGCAGAAATTGGTCAGGCCAAGTATCCTGGGATTGCAGCATGTTGTCTAACTGCTGCTGTGAATTTCTTTAGTGCAACGCAATACCTTGCTGTTACTGTGAGGGTTATGTTGCACAACTTGGTTTCGATCCGAACTCTATATACAAGTGTGTCGTGTATTATATTTTGTATTGTGCCTTGTGGGAATGTTGCTCTGTTGCTGCAATCTGTTTGTTGTCCATGTGCCCGTCTGTAGCCTTGTCGTGAGTGGCTGTTGCAGTTCTGCCGTGGGTGGGTAATTGCTACATAATTGCAACCTTTTTTCCTTGTGCCGTGGATAATCCTTGGAAAGGATTGCAGCGTGTAGTTGTTTGCTGCAACCCCTTTTCCTTTTGTGCGACTTAGTTGCTAGAAGGATAGAAGGAGAGGGAGAACAAAAAAAAAAGGTTGCTGCTTGTTTGTTCTTGCAATTGTCATTTTGCGTATTATTAAAATGGCAAATACAGGTTGGATTTTAGATTCCGGTGCAACAAATCATATGACGTATGATAGAACTTTGTTTCAGTCCATGAAAGATTCTCATAGAAAGTGAGTGGCAACTGCTAATGGTACTACTGCTGCTGTTATTAGAGTGGGAACATTGTCTCTTACACCCTCTTTTTCGTTACACAATTGTTTATTGGATTGTGTTGTAGGAATGTATCCTTCATTTTGCTTGCTTCAGGATATTCAGACAAAGGAGATTATTAGGCGTGGCACTAAGAGAGATGGGCTATATTATGTGAATGACGTGGTTCCTGGAAGAGCTAATTTGGTTCATTCGTCACGTAATATTAATCTACAGAAGGTATTGTTATTGCATCGTCGTTTGGGGCATGATCGTTTGGTTATTTGAAACATATATTACCTGATTTGTTCAGTGGTATTGAAGATTCAGAATTGAAATGTGAAGTATGTATTTTAGCCAAAAGTCATCGTGCATCATTCCTTCCAAGTATAAATAGAAGATCTTCACCATTTGCACTAGTACACTCTGATATGTGGGGGTCTTCCCCTGTTAGTACTACTTCAGGAATTAGGTGGTTTGTTACTTTGGTGGATGATTGCACTCACATGACGTGGTTGTATATGTTGAAAAATAAAAGTAAGGTTTATAATGTGTTTCGTTTGTTTCAACAGATGATTAAAACTTAGTATTCCACTAATATTAAAGTTTTGCATTCCGACAATGGTGGAGAGTACATAAATTATAAGTATCCAGGTTTCTCCAAGATTGTGGAATCATTCATTAAACTACATGTCCGCATACTCCACAACAGAATGGGGTTGCTGAGAGAAAGAATCGTCATATCTTGGAAACTGCTCGTGCCTTGCTTATTGGTGTGTCTGTGCCTAAACATTTTTGGCCTGAAGCCATTACCTATGCCATGTATGTGATTAACCGTATGCCATCTCGAGTTGTAGAATTCTGTACACCTCTTCAAGTATTGACGGAACATGTTCATGTAGTATCCACTAATAACCTTACTCCTCGTGTGTTTGGATATGTAGCATATGTTCATATTCACAAGATTCATTATAGAAAATTGGATCCATGTGCCCTTCGGTGCATTTTTGTTAGGTTTGCCTCCGAGCAGAAATGGTATAAGTGTTATCATCTTGAAACTCGACATATGTATGTGACTATGGATGTTACTTTTTCTGAATCAGAGTATTTTTATTCTTCGATCCCATCACCTTCAGATCACCAGGGGGAGAACACTAGTGGTGATCAAGTTGATCTTGGGTGGTTAGAGGTACCAGAGGATGTGATATGTAATTTAGGGGGAGTATGTGTTGATGAAAAGGATGAAAATGGGACACCAGTCTCTCGACAAGAAACTGCAGAGAATGATATGGGCCTTCAGCTGTTGCCTACCGAGATAAGTGCAGACTTTCGGCAAGGTCCTGCCAAGGAAGCTATAATAGTCCAGCAGCCTATTGCCGAACCAAGTACTTCAGGGGAAGAAGTGCCGCCTATAGAACCCACATTACCTTCTCTCTAGCTCGATAGTGTCACCCAATGTGTCTTCTCTAAATATCCCTGAGGTAAGTACTACAGATGCTCATGTAACTAATCCAAATAATGATGTAAGTACATATAAGTTGCTGCCAAGGAAAAATTATGGTGTTCTTCTTGACAGGTTTTCTCCTGAAGGAAAAGTAAAGTATCCAATAGCAAATTATGTGTCATGCAAGAACCTTGCACAGGAACGCCAAGCCTGGGTAAATAATGTGGAAGCAATCCAAGCACCAACCCAAGTTGAGGATGCCTTGAAGGATCCTAAATGGGATGCTGCAATGGATGAAGAAATGATGGCACTACACAAGAATAATACATGGGAGGTAACGGAGCTACCTAAAGGCAAGAAACCAATTGGGTGTAGATGGGTATTTACGATCAAGATCAAGGTAGACGGATCGATAGACAGTTATAAAGCAAGGTTAGTAGCAAAGGGTTATACTCAAACTTATGGTGTTGATTATCAGGAAACTTTTTCTCCAGCAGCGAAGATGAATACAGTACGAGTTCTGATTTCGTTAACTGCAAATTTGAATTGGCCATTGAAACAGTTTGATGTGAAAAATGCTTTTCTTCATGGGCACTTGGAAGAAGAGGTATATATGGATTTTCCTCTGAGGTACAATGCCGGAGGGAAAACTGGAGTATGTAGGTTGCGAAAGTCACTTTACGAACTTAAGCAATCACCTTGTGCATGGTTTGGTAGATTTACTCAAGTTATGAGGAGGATTGGGTATTATCAAAGTCACTTGGATCATACATTATTTGTGAAGCAGAGAAGTGGTAAAGTGACGGCCTTAATTATTTATATGGATGACATGATAATAACGGGTAATGATTATGAAGAGATAATGAAGTTAGACAAAACCTTGCAGCTAAGTTCGAGATGAAGAATTTGGGAGATTTGAAATATTTTCCTGGCGTGGAAGTCACTCGATCATCTAGAGGTATTTTCTTGTCTCAACATAAGTATGTTATGGATTTATTAAAAGAAACAGGCATGCTGGGATGTAAACCTGTGGATACTCCCACTGTAGAGAAACATTATTTAGGGATTTATCCAAATCAGGAACTGATTGACAGAGGTAGATATCAAAGACTAGTGGGGAGGCTGATTTATTTGTCTCATACTCGTCCAGATATTGACTATGTCGTAAGTGTGGTAAGTCAATTTATGAACTCACCTAGTATTGATCATATGACGACGGTAATGAGAATCTTGGTATATTTGAAGTCTGCCCCGGGTAAAGGAATTTTGTATGAATGTCATGGACATATGAGGATTGAGGGATTTACTGATG